ACTGAGACTAGGCTTGACACCAGACCAACATGCTTCTGGTGTGATTTCTTCAAGCTTCTTCGTCGGACATCTGTTTAATATATATGTTGCTGTCGAAACTGTTTCTCCCCATAATTCTTTAGGTAGATGCTTTCCATTCAACATACTTCTCACCATATTCATGATGGTTCTGTTCTTGCGTTCTGCAATCCCATTTTGCTGTGGAGTGTAAGGTGGCACCACCTCATGCACAATCCCTTCTTTTACACATAGTGTATCGAACTCTTTCGACACATACTCTCCACCACCATCAGTCCTCAGAATTTTCAGCTTTCGACCACTCTGTCTTTCGACCATGGTCTTGAATCTGAAAAATACCTCAATCACATCACTTTTCTTCTTGATGAGGTAAGTCCACAGCTTTCGACTGTAATCATCTATAAACGTGACAAAGTATCTATTGCCACCAATCGAATCCACCTGGATTGGACCACATACATCAGAGTATATGACTTCAAGTATTGCCTTCGACTTCCTTCCTGCTTCCTTGCTGAAGCTATTCTTGTGTTGTTTCGACTGAACACACTCCTCACAGACTTCACTTGGAATATCGATTTCTGGTAATCCTGAAACCATATTTCTTCTCTTTAGTTCTTTGATGTCATTAAAGTTGAGATGACCTAGTTGAAAATGCCATAACCACTCATCTCTACTGGCTGCAGTTGCTAGACATCTGTGCTCCATCACATTGAGTCCAATCTTGAAGGTCCTATTCTGAGACATTGGAGCCTTCAAGATTAATCTACCACCTGCGTCGAGAACTCTCATCATCTTGTCTTCGACAACTACCTTGTAGTTCTTTTCGACAAGCTGCCCTATGCTGAGCAAATTACTCTTCATGCCTGGTATGTACAACACATTGGAAATTGTTGACCTTTTGCCATCTTTCCTCATAATCAGAACATCACCAACACCTTCAGCTGCTAGAGTGTTGTCATTTGCAAACTTCACTGTGTTCTTCGACGAGGGCTTCATGTTGACAAACCAATCTTTCCTTCCAGTCATGTGTGATGAGCATCCTGAGTCCAAGTACCACTGATCTTGGAATCTTTCTTCATCTTTTGTTGTAACCATTAGCAACGTTTCTTCTTCTTCATGTTTCGCCAGCTTTGCATCAGTCTCTTGATTTCTCCTTCTTTCTGGACAATCACTAGCATAATGACCATACTTCTGGAAATTGAAACATTGAATGTGGCTTTTGTCTGTCTTTTGACCACCACCTCTTCCTGCAGCACCACCTCTTTGGTTGCCTTGGTTCCAAGGTTTCTTCTGATTCGACTGGTTTCCTCCTTTGTTGCCATTCCAGCTACCTTTGCCTTTTCTTTCCTTTTCCGACTGCGCCTGCAAAGCCATATCTTTCGACTTTCCTGCAGCTCTCTCAGTCATCCTCTGTTCATGAGACTCAAGAGTCTCTTGAAACTCTTCCTTCGTCAACACTGATAGATTTTTCGACTCTTCTATGACAACTACCACGTGGTCGAATTTTGGAGCCAACGATCTCAAAATCTTTGAGACAACTGCTTTCGTCGTTAGTGCTTCTCCACATACTTTGATTTGATTCACCAACTTCGTAACTCTGGTGAAGAAATTTGTAATGCTTTCGTTGTCTTCCATTTGAAGCAACTCATAGGTTCTCTTGTGAGTTTGTAACCTCACCTCTTTCACCTTCTCTGTGCGTCCAAACGACTTTTCAAGAATCTCTCATGCTTCTTTTGTTGAATCAACATCACTAACCTTTTCAAAGTTATCAGGATCGACACACTGATGAATTATAAAGAGTGCTTTATAATCCTTCTTCTTCAATTCTTTGTGCGCAGCCTTTTCCGCCTCCGTTGCGTTCTCCACAAGCGGTGTCACTCCGTCCTTCACAAGATCCCAAAGATCTTGATAACAGAAAATCACTTTAACCTGCTTGCATCAATTCTCATAATTGTCTTTCTTGAGAATTGGCAGGGTCGCCGAAAAGTTGTCGTTCGCATAATTCATCGCCATCGCTATCTTCCTTCCTTGAATCTCTCAACCAGGCTCTGATACTAGATGTTGGAAATTCACCTCACACCCTATGAAGAATTCCCTTCAATCTTGATCTCAAGATTGATGAACAAACCCACTATATGATAATGATAGTAATAACAAGTAATTATTAAGAACAACAAAAGAGAAGAAGAATAACAAACAAGAAAGAGAAGAATGAGAGAAGAAGTATTTGAAGAGAATGTGTTACCCACAACTGTGGGATTTCTTATTGAACTTTTACTTGCTAACTGCAACTATGAAATCTGTTCTGTTGTGATGTAAAATACAAAGCAAGACACCCTATTTATAGTTTTAGGTTTACACTAGCCCAAAACATAAAAAGCACAAAATATTCTAAATCAAATCTAATCATATGATATCAAATCTAATCATATCAAATCACACTGAATTATATTTAACCGTTGATGCCTTAACAACAACCTTGGCCCATAAGTAATTACTAAGTGCAATGTCTAGTAATCCTTTGCCAATAATCAGACCAAGCTGTTTCCAAGTAAGCATATGAAATGGTTCAGTCCTTGTGACATTGAGTGCAATTGGGAGAAAGCGTAAAACATTGCAGAGCCAGAAATCCAAGAAATTGGCTTCACCGTTCTTTCCATCATCATCATTTAATTACATGAAAAAAACCATAAACCTCTGTAGGATTTAACAAGAAATGGTGATACACCATCATCTACAACATGAATTTAGTTTGGGGATGGATGTAGGTTTTGGAAATGTTTAAGAATATGGATCTTTCACTTTGTATAATAAAATGCGAATTCAATGTGAAAAACATTAATGCTTTATACCTTGTAGTCTGAAACTTTTGTAGTAAAAATGGCTTATGCTTATTGTATGAAGTCCGTCTTTTTAAAAAAAATGTGGAAACAAAATATTGGAATCTTAAATTTGGAGTTTGGAATTGATTTTTCAGATGCATTTACCTTAGTTTGTTTAGGCAATGTTTCTTGGACTCTGTAATTAGTTCCACACAGTTTGTTCAACTCCACACTCGTCTTTTCCAATGCAATAGCACAATTCCAAATAGTTGTGTGGAAACATGACATATATTATGTTTATTTTCATGTGGTTCGGTGTTTCCTTTTTCTCTTGTGAATCATGCTATGAAATGGTACATGTTTTTTTACCATATTCGTTTACATTTTGTATGATTGTTGCATTACTCTATTTTTAAAGCAAATATCAGGAAGTGTTTATGTCGATTTTTAGGATCAAATCTGAGACCTTCTACTTTAACATAAATGCTTCTAGTCGTGTTGGAAACTAATTTAAAAAACCCCTCCCCAAATTATCCATTTTTGTTATTGGTGTTCATATTATGCTATTCAAACCAACCACCAAATTTTTTCGAGATTGTCTGTTAAATTAAATGAATAAGACAAATTAAAATATCAGCTTAAACAACGTTAGAATTTGAAAATCGGCAAATTTTTTTACTAAAAGTCCAATCTTATTAAATTCAACAACACATATACATGAAGAATATGACCATCAATAAACAGTAATACAACCAATTTTAACAAGCTCAAGCTAAAAGTAATATGTAAAATCTAGTAAGGTTCAAACTGAACCATAACAATCACTCTACTATGACTGTAGTCTATACATATAAGACTGAATTATAAATTGTATAAATCATATAACTCCCATCATACAGTATGAGCTAAACAATATATAATAGAAAACTATAAATGATTTGAGACAATACTAATGAAAGAATTCAAACTTATGGAGTAGTGGTTGGAACAACTTTAGACATTTCAGAGACTTTAGGCAACTCAGGTTTGGGGAGTTCTGGAATATTGATCTTGGGTAGTTCAGGTTTAGGAAATTCGGGAATTTTAGGCAATTCTGGAACTTTAGGTAGCTCGATTTTTGGCAATTCAGGCACATTAAATTTAGGTAGTTCTGGCTTTGTCAATTCAGGTAGCTTAGGCAATTCGGGTTTGGGTAGTTTTGGAACATCAACTTTAGGTAGTTCAGGCTTTGGCAAATCAGGGATTTTAGGTAGTTCAGGTTTCTTCAATTCAGGAACATTCAACTCTGACTTCGGTAATTTAGAAATTTTAGGAATTTCTGACTTAGGTAATTCAGGAATTTTAGGCAGCTCGGGTTTTGGTAACTCAGATATTTTAGGAATTTTTGACTTAGATAATTCAGGATTATTAGACAGCTCGAGTTTTGGTAACTCGGGTACTTTAGGAATTTCTGACTTAGGTAATTCAGGAACCTTAGGCAGCTCGGACTTTGGTAATTCTGATGCTTTAGGAATTTGTAGCTTAGGTAATTCGGAAACTTTAGGTAGTTTGAGCTTTGGTAACTCAGGTATTTTAGGAATTTCTGTCTTAGGTAGTTCAGGAACTTTAAAAAACTCAGGATTTGGTAGAGGTGGCAAATCAAGTTTTGAGAGCTGAGGCATGTCTGACTCTAGAAGTTGGCGTGCCTCGACAATCATTATACTACTTTTTGCTGACAAAATAGCTAGAATCATAAATGGAAAAATGATTGTTGACAAACTATTGAATACCATGGTTAAATTGATCTAATAGAAGAGAAGAACTTCAAGGAGATATTGTATAGTAGTTGAAGCTCTTTGAAATGCTAATATGGTTGTGATATGATTTGTAGTGTATTTTGCATGTATTATATGTGTGGCTTTTATAGATGAAATCGTGTACATGTAAGTATTGTTAGTTCAACTTCTTACCTACAAAGTATCCCATAAAACAAAACTTAATTGAACCGTTTTGTTGGTTAACTAACCTATCTGCATTGAAAATTAATGCATGTGAACTTGACACCTGGAACAAGTTACTTCAGCTATGACTTCGAAGTGTATTTAGATTAGATAAGATAGATTTAAATTGTCATATTGCAATGCAATCAAAACAAGTCATCCTTAAAAACCTCATTTATCATCACAATCTCAGACTATCAATAAAGGATTCATAGAGCTTCCTATCGAAAAACCTGTTGAAGTATTCTGCATTTGTCATGTTCTTGTATACTTGTTGGTTACCTTCATCAGTTAACTTTTCAACAGGTCCAATATCTATAGAAGGATTTGGATAGCAGAATGTCACTATTGACAATCTTTCTTTCTCCTTATTCACGACGGCTCGATGCTCTGGTGCTTTGTATATCCCGTTTGTCATTACCTGCATAATTGAAGAACATGCAATTACAAACATGCAATGAATCACTATTTGAGAAATAATTTGAAGCCTTATGATTCTATAGCGCGGACACCTTTGATAAAAGATGTGTCTGTGTCGGTGTCCGTACAAATATTAGTATCTGTGAGATGTAACAAATGCTTGACCATACCCTTCAAGACTTCCTGCTTTCTGTGCCCATCGTTTTTTCTCTTGTAAAAGAAGTTCAAAAACTCTTTTTACTTCATTCCCCATATTATTAACAGATGAAACTCCATGATTTACCATCTGCATGAAAATTACAAGATCAGGTAAAAATGGAACAAAAAATTGATTAATTGTTAATTAGCAGTACCTGAAAAACACCCCAGTGTGTTAACCAACTTTGCTTTATCAATCAAGGGTATTGTAAGAGATGGATCAGAAGAAGGAAAAGCGCAGAAATCATCATCACCATCGTCTCTTAAGTATCTTTTTGGTACTTTTTGTGGATTTTGAAGTGATAATTCTTGAACACTTGGAACTGTAAGTGATGATTCTAAGCACTTACTTTTTGCGTCCATTGCAAAATTCTCTTAAAGCTTGCGTTTGACAAGTTAGATCACATCTCATTTTTTGTCAAAAGCTGATGTGAGATTCAATGTACTAATAATTTGTTTATTTTATGTTAAATATATATGTGTCTCTCTGTCTCTATAACTTTTTATGCCTGTGTTTTTATTTTTCAATAAAAAATTTAAATTTCATTTAAATTGTGCTTTTAACCTTTTGTCTATAATAATTTTCATGGAAAAACATTATAAGCATCTTTAAGATCAAAGTTAATTTTTATATGATTAAATATAAATCTGTAAATTAAAAGAATAGATAATACTTTAATCAAAAATCAAAAGGTAATCGCTACCAAAATATCAAAATATAAAAAAATGCTACAATAAGTTAGATTAAGATGTACCAATCTGGACTTTCAAATATTATATGAAGAAAGCTCCAAGAATGCTTCTAATATTCCTACTATGAATCACCATCCTTGATTTTTCAAGCGTCGTCTTATATATTGTACGTCTTCGTGTCTTCTTTTTTGCTTCTATTCTCTCATGTGTGTTGTTCCATACTTTAGGTGATTTCCTCCTTTAGGTGTGGTTTTAGTTCAAAATTCGCAACTTTTAAGTGCCAATTATTCTTTAGCTATCCTCCTACCCTTTGTCTAATGTTTTGCTTTTTCCTCTCTCTCTCTCTCTCTTAGTCATGAGTATCCTAACGCCTTTCAAAACTAACCCCATGAAACATATTGGTACAATTACGAACCAAAACTGCAATAAAACCTACACCAATTTCTGTTTTGATCACCAAATTTAACAATCAAAACCTATTAATTTCAAGAACTAACACCAGAATCTCATTATGAATGTTCAGGATATCAGCATACTCGGTAATACAAAATTAGGAGTGGTAAACGGGTCGTGTAACACCCATTTTAATTATTTAGTCTTTCCAATGTTATTTTATTTCGGCGTCTTTTGTGGAAATTGTTTAAAAAGCTATGGCCTTTAATATTAATATAAAATAATTGATAATGATAATAATTTGATAATAAATAGTGATATAATAATAATAATAATAATAATAATAATAATAATAATAAATAATAATAATAATAATAATAATAATTATTATTATTATTATTATTATTGGAATAAAGAAATGAGGAATAAGTGTGGTAGGGGGTATTTGTGAGTTTTAGAAGGGGGGAAAAAGAAGAACACGGTCTAGTTGGAAGAAGAATGAGGAAGAAGAACAAGAACAAGGAAAGGAAGAGAAACAAGGGAGAGCAATCAGATTCTTGAGAGTTTTTCAACGATCGAAGCAACTAGTCGAGGTAAGGGGGGAGAAACGGATTGAGATTGGTAATTGCATGAATGGGGTAGTTGGGGATTCCTTAACCTGATAGGGATTTGATGATTATGATTAGGATGTTGTTGTGTTTCTGATTGTTGTTTTCATAGATGAAATGTGTTTATGTTGTGATGATTTGGTGAAATTCTGTTATTCCAGCCTTGCATGTGATTATGTAGGGATTTGTTGGGTGTTCTGAGTAGTTTACCGTTTAGGTCGAAAATGATTAAATCGGCAGAGTTGATATTTTATCGGGTAAAATCTGAGATAGGTAGTGTGGTTTAGTCGTAGAATGCTAGGCTAAGACTACTGGGACTGGTTTGGTGAGAATCAGATGGATTTTGAGCTTCTGATGAAATTCTGAACAGTGAGGGTTTTGTGAAATCGCAGACATTCGCCAGCACCTTCGCTGAGCGAGCTAGTAGCGAGCATTCGCTAGTAATTCGCTTGGCGAGTTGGGTAGCGAGTACTTCCAGTAGGCACTGTCTGCCTTCGCTAGCAGGTTCGCTAGGCGAATGAGGCAGCGAGTGTTCATTGAGGCCTCGCTAGGCGAGTGAGCCAGAGAGCGTGACAGAATGTGATTTTTGTACTGTTTTGCCTGGTAATTCATTTTGTAGGATTCCTTGGGCTGTGATAGATCGAGAGATGTTGTTTAGTGGTGAAGAGAGTATACTTGTGTGGAAAGGTGCAATTATGAAATATTAAATTTAAGTGACATAATTAATTGGTGGGTAAGATATATATATATATATATATATATATATATATATATATATATATATATATATATATATATATATATATATATATATATATATATATATATATATATATATATATATATATATATATATATATATATATATATATATATATATATATATATATATATATATATATATATATATATATATATATGACGCATAGTGAGGTGATCAGGAGGATCGTGTGTACTCGGTGTTCGATGTAAATTTCCCTATTATTTAATTTGATTGACATAATTGATCGGTGTGTATATATATCTGAGTATATATGATGTATGGTGATGTGATCAGTAGGATCGTGTGCACTTTGTGTGCTTGATGTTTGTGTGTTGTGCATTTGGTGTTGTGCATATCATGGTGTTTTAGTGGGATGAATCATGTCTCAGATGGAGCGTAAGTGATTCATCCATACTCCTTTGTGGAGAATGGTGGGGTTGAATCATGTCTCGGATGGAGCGTAACTGATTCACCCGTACTCCTTTGTGGAGAATGGTGGGATGGATCATATCTCAGGAGGAGCGTAAGTGATCCATCCGTACTCCTTTGTGGAGAATTGCGGATTTGAATCATGTCTCGGATGGAGCGTAAGTGATTCACCCGTACTCTTTTGTGGAGAATGGTGGGAATAGATCATGTCTCAGGAGGAGCGTAAGTGATCTATTCCGGGGTTCGATTGAATGAACCAAATGAGTCGGTACCGCATGCATGGTGTTGAGTTGCATTCTTGCATTATTATATGTGTGTTGATGCTTGGACAGTAGGTCGTGTTTGATGTTGGTGGGGTGATGATTTGTATATTTACTGCCTTTTTATTCATGTATTTTATTACCGATAATTTTGATCACTTTTTCTCACCCCTTTGTTGTTGTTGTGGTTTGTGCTTCTTCGGAAGTACAGATAATCCAGGTGCATAGCTAGCTTGGATAGTGGTGTGCGGGTCGAGTCCATAGGATGCTCTGATACATAACACAGGACTTGGGAGTTTTTTTTTGTTTTATGATTGAATTTGTTGTATTCCTGTGGCGTATCTTATTTTGATGAATTCTCTTAATGAATATTTTATGTGAATTGGCGGATGGCCTAGAGTGATGTACAAATGATTGTTTCTGCTGTATATTTTGAAAACCATCTAATGAAGTGTTTATTTAAATTGTGTTGAATGTGACATCCCGCTTTTGTGGGAAAACTCTGATATTTATTTGATTTAATCGTATTTTATTTTAATTTGGGAAAGTGGGGTGTTACAAGTTGGTATCAGAGCAGGTCGGTTCGTCCGGCCAGTGTAGTAGTTTAGTCTGTCCGTAGGATAGAGGTTGTGTACCTTTTAACCTAGTGTTGTTTTGGTTGAGCAGTATGACAGGGAGAAATGATGCTGCTTTGGCTGCAGCTATGCAAGCAATGGCGCAGGTGGTTGCTAATCAGAACCAAGCTGCAGGTGCACAATTCAGAGATTTGGCACAGTTTCAGAGTAACAAGCCATTGACGTTTGAAGGGGGAATTTTGGATCCTGAAGCTGCACAGAAATGGCTGAAGGAAATTGAGAAGATTTTCAGGACAATGGGTTGTAATGATGAACAGAAAGTGAGGTTCGGTACTCACATGCTGGAAGGAGAAGCTGAGGCTTGGTGGGACAACAGTCGCCAAAGATTTGAGGCTGCAGGAACTGCTATTACTTGGGATGTGGTTCGAACAGGGTTTCTGGAAAAGTATTTTTCGGAACATATACGAAGTGCTAAGGAGATAGAGTTTCTGGAGCTGAAGCAGGGTAATCTGACTTTAGCAGAGTATGCTGCTAAATTTGAAGGGTTAGTGCAGTATTGTCCTCATTACAATACAGAAGAGGCAATGACCTCCAAATGTTTGAAGTTTGAAAACGGGCTGCGTCCGGAGATTAAGATGGGGATCGCTTGTCAGAAGATCAGAAATTATCCTGAGCTGGTAAGCAGAAGCAGAATCTATGATAATGACAACCGGGTCAGGATTGCACACTATAAGGATGCGAATGACCATAAGGGTAAGTAGAGATTTGGTGGTACTCCTTACAGTGTTCCTGATGATAAGGGAAAACATAAGGCTGCTGCAGATAAGAAGTCCAGAGAAGGGAGTGTTCCTGCTGGTGTGAAGTGTTTCTGATGTGCTGGTGCGGGGCATCATGCTAATGATTGTCCTGATGAGGTGAAGAAGTGTTTCAAGTGTGGTAAGCCGGGCCATGTGATGGCGGACTGCAGGGCTGCTATGCCTACCTGTTATAACTGTGGTGAGAAAGGTCATATAAGTACACACTGCGAGAAGCCGAAGAAGTCTCAGGTGCCTCAGGCCAGTGGTAAAGTGTTTGCAGTGGTAGGAACTCAAGCTGCCGGCGAGGAGCGTTCCATCAAAGGTACTTGTTTTATCAATAATGTTCCTTTGACTGCTATGATTGATACGGGTGCAACCCACTCGTACATTTCTGTTGATTATGTGAAGAGATTAGGATTGGTGCCGTCTACTCTTAAGCATCGGGTGACTATTGAAACTCCCTCTATTGGATCAGTGACTACTTTGGTGTGTTTAAAGTGTCCACTGACTATTTTCGGTAGAGACTTTAGGGTAGATCTGATTTGTTTGCCACTTGGTAAGCTGGATGTTATTCTGGGTATGAACTGGTTGGAGTTCAACCGAGTTTACATCGATTGTTTTCGGAAGGTGTTGTTGTTCCTTACTCCAGAAGAGGAAGCATTGAAGGATTCCTTGTCTAATAAGGAATTGAAGACCTTGTTAGAGGACGAAGCTAAAATGTTTGCTTTATTTGCATCATTATCTGTTGACAGCAAAGCGTCGATGGAGGAGTTGGCGGTGGTGAATGAATTTCCCGAAGTGTTCCCTGATGATATTACGGAATTACCTCCGACAAGAGAAGTTGA